TATATATATAAACTGTCGCTTTTGCTAGTGTATATCAGATAGTAACAAACTATGACATTCCTGCCAGTTATAATACAACAAAAATTTGTAGCTTTTCTCATGCGCGTAAATAGTAGCATACTTAAATCTACACAGTGTATACATGTAACAAATGTTTTTACAATATTACAATCCGTACATATATATATTTATAAGAAATAATATACAAATGCATTTGTGTTCGCACCCATTTAAATTTTATTTTGTAGGCGAGAACGAAGTTGGGTTTAATATGCGCGAGTGCATTTCTCTTATTAAAGGTACAGTATAAGCGACACACTCGTCCCAACCGGGCGATCTCCAAGCACTCTCACGCGTTTCTTTACGTGATTGAAGATCCTTGTAACCTGAAAAATAAAAACAAATATGCGACATATATGAAGATAAATGAGCATAATATACATAAAACAGCGTAATATAAATAATATATGGTTTCACACTTACACCAAATATGATGTACATTGTACAATCTACCAATTTGTGAGAAGTAACCAGCAAACGGTTCATCATTGTTGCGTCTATAATTAATAGCTTTAGCCCAATTATTTCCCCATTCTATCATCGTGCCTGGTTGCAAACTATAACTACGTATTTCATATTTGTTTGGCCCTTTCCTTTTTGTTAACGGTGGCCAATAACTGAACGCCAACAGATATTGCAAATGACGTGATCTTAAGTAATTCCCACGTTCCGTTTGCAGTCGTTGATAAGACTATGGAAATTAGGTTTTAATCATCAATGTTCATTGCAATTGATCTGTTCTTTTCAGCTAAACTTCTTGCACTATTTATCTTTTTTCTTTTTCTCTCTGATTGAAAAAGACAGATGAGCGATGCAAAAAATTCAACTAAAAAAATAGATCTACGTCTCTGTCTTTTCTTTGTATATTACAAAAGATTTCGTACCTCATCTTTAGAAAGCACAGCTTGTGTATGATCTATACGTTCGTAACCACCTGTATATTGCCATAAATGTAAGGCCTGATCTAAGTCTCCTACTTCCACTGTCCACGAACCCACTAATTCGCAATTCAAATCAGATTTTTTTGAGTGTATCAGATTAACGTGTTCCTCACTGGAATGGCATAAAAAAAAAGATAAGGAGAAACGTATATGAGAACATTTAGCAGGCTTATTTAAAGTTTAACACATTTAACATTAATATATATTTTTCGATAATCTACCTATAAAACCTATAAAAGATTACAAAACAAGTACATACAAATGATATTCTGACTATATTCTGATGATACCAATTAAATATATAATACTATATGATAAAGAACACAAGTTTTAACTATATTTTAAAGATATTGCAATATCTATAAAGGCTAATCTGCAATGTGTTCTTTGCTTTTACCTCTTGCCTTTTTCATTCTTTGTAACTATTTTATCAATATTATGTATTTCTTTCCAGATAGAATACAAAGTTATAAGATCAAAATGGCATCAAATTGAAGTCATTTTAAAGAAAAACATGTCGAGACATTTTGGTGATGATTTTATGATGAATTCTTGATATAATAATTTTAATTGATTTTTAGTTAAAAGTAATTTAAAAATTATTACTGTGTTATGAATTCATCACAAAATCGTTGTCGAAGTATAGTGAAAGACATCACTATCGTTTTTCCTAAAATTACTTCAACTTGGTATCATTATCAACTTGATCTCATTATGATTTTGTGTTCTTCCATTCTACCTGAATCTTTTTCGAAATTCAACTTTTGTTTCTTATAATAGAAAACGAAAAAAATGAATTAAGAAGCAAAAAGAAAAGAAGTAAAAATTAAGAAGCATTCACTGCAAAGCAGAGTACACTGTTAGATTAGCCTTAAAGACTAGCAACTACAAATAATAAACTAAATTAGAAACGTTGCATGCTGAAGACAGATCGATCCTATTGCATCGAATTTATAGGTCAGTGAACCATCACGCACTCGGATGCAAGGTCACAAAGATGTCGACTCACTAGTTGGCCAAGTATTTGTCAATCGAATCTGGCCGTATGTTTTGAGTGTGCAGTGCATAAATGACCTCCTTGTCGGAGAGCATTCGCGAGTGCGATTCTTTTGTGGGCTCGATCTTCCTCACCAGGAGTTTGCTCAGCCATCCCTCACTGATGTCACAGCGGATCGACGATCTCGTCAGATACCTACGAATTGATATAACTGTTAGTCAATCCGAGCAGCAGGTCCGTCACGGTTATGAGCTCTCACGTACAGATCGCTCTCGCGCTAAGAAGTTAAAAAAAATTGAAAAAAAATAATAATAATGACAATGCCATGTTCCGCACGAGTTCACTTGTGCTTACCGTGCGGCTATGAGCAACGGTAGATTCCCGTTGCCGGCGAGCACGCTCGTCACGGTACGAAATTCTCTCTTCAAAACGGCAGCCATTTCCTACTGGATCCCCACACACGAATCTCCCCGTCGTACTTCACCTTCACCCGGTCGTGTTCGCGACAGCTTCGCGATCCAGCTCCGGGAGTTGAGAGATTGCGGTGGGACTCGCGGCGCTCACGATACTCTGCAAAAAGCCACCAACGCACGGTCGATTTATTTATATTCGTAATCTGTATGCGCGACGCTTCCCGTTTTCTCTCTCCCTACGCGAAAAAAAAGCGAGATTTACCGTCATTGAGCTCGAGATGCGCACAAATGCTGCAAATGCGTATGTATTGCGTACGCGAACGTTGACGATAAACACTTGGCCACGTTTGGAAACGTATTGCACGCAAGCGCGTACAGTTTTAATTAAGAACATTACAAGTCTATTTTTTCAGCTCAACTTTTTTCATGAATCAGCTTTCTTTCCTTTTCATGTTGGAATTCGAGAAAAAGAGAAAAGATGAATTATGAGAAGTTGAGCTGAAAAACATAAGCTTACAATTTATTTTTAAGGATTATTATAGCATTTCAAAACACATTCAGAGGAAAGTTTTACTTGATATTATATATATATATATATATATATTATACGTGACATGTACTATATATTATCAAATAAAATTTTCCTTGAAGAGGACGTTTCGCAAGCGAAACAACAATAAGTCATTATGTGTATCGAATCATAATGATCAAAATGACTCCAAAATGATTAATTAAAAGTAATTTTTCAATCATTTCCGATTTTAATGTCATGATTTTAATATTATCGTTTGCTTGTTTTGCTTAAGTTTGAAACATAATTTTAAGCCTGTTTTATAATGTGCTTTTTGTTTTCTGTTTCTTACTTTTTATTATTTTTTTATCTTGTCTTTTTGCTTCTTATCTGATTTTTTTTATCACCCGAGATAAAAGTTAACGAAAGAAACAAGAAATACAAGAAATAGCAAAAAATATATTATTGATAAAATGATTGCAAAGAAGAAAAAAGCAAAAAACAAGAAACAGGAAACAAAGAGTACATTGTAGAATAGGCTTCAGTCTCGTTAAACAACAGATTTATGCGAGGTTTCAAACATAAATCTCTTAAGATGTTCAAATAATTATACTTATCGCGAGAGAATATATTCCAGACAAACGAAATTTAAAATGTTTCATCAATCATTATGAAAGTTATCATCGCGAAGATATTCCAATTAATAAGAGCGAAACTTTTTAATAAACAACAATGGATTAAAAATATTAAATTGAATTAAAATTTTATCTCTCTGAATGCCTATTTTAAGTAACAAAAACTTTCTTGAATTCAATTGGATTAAATTGGATTGAATTGAATTCAACTGAAGATTCAATTGGATTGAAAGACTGCATTTCCTATTCAAAATGAATTGAGAAATATTCAGATGAGGCACAGAAAAAAACTCATATATAATAATAAAAAAAACTCATATAAAATTCATATATTATTTTTAAATTGAAATAAAGGCATAGAAATGTGCTTCATGTTTCAATTCATGCTTCAATTCCTAAATATAATAAATGCATTCGGATTGAAAAGGATTTTAATGTGAATACATATTTCTAAAAATCTGATTCTATTTCAGTCCATTTCAATCTATTCTCGTTTATTGGGTTGAAATATACTTTCGAATTATTATTGTATCTATTGAAGAGAAAGATATATTAAGTTCGATAAAAAGTAGCCAAAATTGGAATTAATATAATATGTTCTTCAAGATTCTCATCGTTAAATTTACTAGATTATAACCCAGTAAGAAACAATAGAATCGATGTCGATTTGATGTCAATTTGATAATTTCGATGTTAAATCAACATCAATTCGATGTCAAATCGACATCATTGATTCAATGTCGATTTCATTATCATTCTTACTGGATAAAAAAATGTACTCCAACTAAAGGTAACGATTATAATCGAAATACGTATTTTTTTGATTTTAAATTTTTTAATTTTTTAATTTTTGAAAACTCGCCAACTTTTATAACGAATATAGGCAAAATTTAAATTTCTCGTTTCTACAAAATAATTCGAATGAAATAATTCAAATTAATCAAATATTGAATTCACTCGATAATTTAATTAATGTAATTTATAACTAATTTAAATAATAAAATTTTGAATCAATAATTATACACAAATATGATATATTTCGATTGGTTTAAGGGCCGAGTGATAAGAATGATAAGAAAACTCATTTACACTTCATTTGCAGTACAGATACATATCTGCACTCTACAGTATATTATTATCTTGTAGAAGAAATATTTTGCCATGAAACTTTTTCTGACTTATATTTTACGAAGCTATAAAGTTTCCTAAAGAGCTGGATCTTGTAATTTGGCTTTTTTAATACATAATAAATAAAATTAGCTGCACCTTAAATGTAAAAATGGTCCAAGTACAGTGAAGTATCAAAACGAATTTTTATTTTATCTTTTTTCCAAAAAAAAAAACGCTCTTGAAAAATGCGACTTTCCTGATTACAAATAACCGCATTACAATTTTCTTACTATTTTAGCCGTAATTTGGGAAAAATAATATATTTTTCCCCTTCCTTGCAAAAGTTTGTGCTGCAGTCTTTAGGTTTGTTCGAATTGTTTTAAACACTTTTTAATTTTTCACTCAGTATCTTCACTTTCTTTCTCATTAACATCCGAATATATATTTATCTCGTTTTAAATACAAAAATTTTAGAGATTTCAAACAACACGACTAAATCTTTTATCTCATTTTAAGTGCAAAATCTTTTGAACATTGAAGTAACACGAACAGACCTCTTATTTGACACTAGTACCTAGGAAATTATTCCATTCACCGTTGGCAGGCCATGCAAGGCCATTATCGATTCAAGCGGCTAGCTTCGCTCGGTTAGAAACTTGGCGAAGGAGGGCACCAGTTATAGCTGGAGTTAGTTGGTGTTACCTTCTCAAAAAAGCATCTCTCGTGAAGATACTAACTGGCGCCGCTATTGTCGCCATCATCGCCATCATTTGCCGGTACACGCACAGTGTCCTCAAATAGGTCGAGTTTCGTCATTCGGAAGAACCCCGAGGACGCGCTTTACGTTCACGCTGTCACACGAAACACGAAATAAAGGGCGACAGTCGAGTTGAGGTGGGTGTCCCCAGGTCGATCTGTCAATTTTGTCTTCTGATGATGACCGTCCGATCGGTCGATTGGCTGATGGCTAAAAGAACGTTGTTAGTCATCGCACGTGCGTTCATCGCTGATTTCGTTTTTTCATGCATTGTTTTGCAACTTTGATCTCTCATCGCGCTTGTTGCAAATTAAAGGTTGAAAGTATCGAAAGGTACAGCTGCGCAAAAACGATATATTTGAATGAAGCGAGTTTCGGACTTCTGCGCGCTACGTGTCTTTTTTTTCTTCGGAGCACGCCGGAGCGTTCTCTATTCCTTTATGATTTAATCGAAATTGAAATCGTTGGATTACGATTTCATTTGGCAAAATAATCTCTATCGCGTTACTGTGCATCACATGCACTAAACTCCGATTAACTTAATTGACTTGTGTTTATTTTTCTACTAATGTAGAATAACTTCAATTTCGTTTAATATTCTTTATTCTATTCTAATTCTTAGAACTAAAAAAGGATAAAAAGTAAGTTAAACCAAGATTAAAGAGAGTTAATCTATGTGGATAGAAACAGACATTATGTTATATTTCTACTAATGTAGATTAACTTTAATTTCGATTTAATTTATTCTTTACCTTTTTCTAATTCTTGGAACTAGAAAAGGATAAAAAGTAGGTTAAATTAAGATTAAAGTTAATTTATATGGGCAAAAATAGACATTATGTTCTATCAATTTAGATTAACTTTAATTTTGGTTTTATTTAATATTCTTTATCTTTTTCTAATTTTTATTTAATATTCTTTATCCTTTTCTTAGAACTAAAAAAACGATAAAAAGCAAATTAAACTAAGATTAATCTACACTGATAGAAACAGGCATATAATGCCTATTCAATGTAGAAATTAATTTTAATTTATATAAAATTTGATTACATATAAAGTAACTTTAATTTATATAAATTTAATCTAATTTGTATAAAATTAATCTATCTTGGTAAAAATTGACATTAGGCTCATTTCACCAATGTAGATATTACTTTAATCTCAGTTTAGTTTACTTTTTATTTTTTTTTTTAATTCTTAGAAGTAGAAGACAAAAAGTAAGTTAAAAATCAAGATTGAAATTCTAATCCGAAATAATGAATTGTATAATTAGAAATTTGCTTTAAGCAATTCTGTCGGTCAGTTTAATCGGAATTTGAAATCGTTCTAAATATAGACGCTGTTATAGATGAATAATTACGTAATAATGACAGAGATAATATTATCTTGATGGATAGAAATATAAAATTATATCATCGTATTATTAGCGAAAGTATACACAAATTTTATCACTTAAAGCGCTCATATTATGTTACTGTACTTTGATACATGTATTTACAACAATACAAGCTGTAGCACTGAAACATGATCGGTCAAATCACAGTATGTTCACAGTATGTTAAACTCGCAATGGCATTGACTCATTTTTCAGTTTATCTACGTTCTATTTATCTTATGGAAACTGACCTCGGAAAACAAACCGTACTGTGCGATTTCGAAATCTACCTGCAACTTGGACCGAGAACTTGATCAAGATTCAATTTGGCGCGATGCCGAGAAAGGTATAAAATAGAGCTACGCGTGAAGTATAATAATATAACGATGCGAGGAAGAATCGTAGGTCAGTTTGCCACGCAGTTTTTTTTTTTTACGTCGGTATTATCATTCTGGTGTCACTGAATGCACACGTTCGCGAGCGAGTCATGTAGAAAAAAATTATTAACGATATAAATCGTCACGAGTGTGGATTCACATGTGTATCTACCGAATTAATTTCTTTCACGCGCTCTCGAACGACAACTTTAGCTTTCCTCGTTTATTGAGAACCATTGAATAAGAAACGATTTTCTTAATTATATTCTTTCGCTTTTGAAGAGGTAAATCTGCAATGCAAGCCTCAGAAAAAGAAGAAATAATTATCGCGGGAAGAAAGTGCACTTTGAAAAGACCGCTCTAATTATAGACGTAACAAAGTGGTTCCTGACGGCAATGTATGCCAATATTAGCAAATATTACACACACATAATGTGCATGACTATCTATCTTCTATATAAATATAGGCCAGTATTTGGCGAATATATATGATAAAGTTGGCGTATATTGATCATGTTTGAAATCGCCTTAATAAGAATAGACTGTCCATTCCTATGAAGTTGCCACTAGATCTGTTCTCGTT